CTTGGCTGTTTACTACAACATTCCTTCTCTTGCTGCCACATCCAGATTGGAATACCCATCCTCAGGTCCACCTGAAGCTTCAGCAAACAAAGTATGGAAACTGAACATCAAAGGGAATCTTCCAACATTTTTTTCTTGTCCTCATGTGTTCTATTAATAGGAAAAATATCAAGTGCATTTTTAAAAATTTTTTTTTTATACGATCAATCAGTTATAAAAGAATAAGAATAACTTAAAAAAAAAATTACTATCGAGAAAAGAGTACCTTCTAACCCAACCTCTTTTGGTCTCCTTGTTTTTTAATTTTTCGCTTTCTGTATGTGGATGATGGCCCTCTAATTATTTTAATAAAAAAAAAAAATACAGCTACCTTTTTCCTAATCGATATACAGCTGGCACATGACCCAGCTCTTTCCCAGCCTGTCTGCAGGGAAATAGTGACAGGAAGAGCTTCTAGTCCTCTGCTGCTGGTCACATGTTCAAAATAAAAAAATCAGCCTTTTGGATACAGAGTAAAAATAAATAGTTAATATCAAAAAACTGTTTTAATTCTGCATACAAATATATATTTGAAATCAAATCTTTATATATTTTTTTTGGCAATAACATGGTGTGGGCAGATTTCTGCCAGTAATGCTGTGTCAAGCCCCTCCAGCCTGTGTCTTAGAATACCAGGGAGCTGAAGCCTCCATCAATAGACATGTAATATCCTGCCCCATTGTGTTTAGCAGGTCAGTGGGCATGGAGGGGGAGGGAGGGAGTGGACCGCCATGTATACACCCATATGTGTGACTCTATAGTCACATAGGCTGCTCAGATGCGATGGGGAGGAAATGCTCAGCGTTGAAACTCACTGAAATCTGAGCATGTGCAGTAGCTGCCAACACTGCTCTACAAAATCACCAGCTGCATTGGGGACATGTACAGAAGGGGGAGACAGAGAACAATAGAATCAATTAGGTTTTTTGCAGAATACAGAAAATGAATCCCATAGTGACTGAATGAGTATGAACAGCATGTAATACAACATTTACTGATTTTATGATGTAGGTTTAATGACACTTTAATACCACAGATATCAAGCATTTTTTTTTATTTTTTAAAATGTGTCAAGTATGCAAAGTACTAGGCAGTTCTAGTGTGCTGTAAAACACTCTCAGTGCACTAGAGGATCATATCCTGTAATTGCACAAAGTCCACGATAGTCCAAAATAAGCCCATCACTGTATAACTGCTTAGGTGGCAGCCATCCCAGAGCATGCCAACTCTATATAGATAATGTGTAAGAAAGAAGAGAGAGATCTATAGAAGGAGCAGCTAGCTCTGAACTCGTAGCCTTTCTCTTCCTTTGTTGCAGACCAGGGGTGGACTGACTACTCATGGGGCCCCCGGGCAATAGGGGATCATGGGGCCCCTGTGTCCTTGCCCAAACTCAAAAAAGCCTATGAAAATGGTACCAGGGGCATCTCATGGGGCCCCTTACTGACCCCGGGCCCTCGGGCAGTGCCCGAGTTTCCAAATGGTCAGTCCGCCCCTGTTGCCGACCATTCCCCTTGGTGATGTCACATCTGCCCGGATCTTGCTGTCCACGCTGGTCACAGACACTTACATTTCCGGCAGCAGCGTCCTGTGACCCTTCTACCACCCACGGTGTCCCCTATGGCAGTCGGACGGACTTCTGAAGGATGTGGATGACGGTGGAAAACCTGGAGATTATTGATGGGCTTTTTTTTACTTCTTCACTATTGTGAGTTTTTTTACATACAGTGGCTTATTAAATTGTGTTTAATACTTAGAAGGTGCCTCTCTCTCTCTTCTTTCTTATACAAGTTCTAGTGTGCTGAATCCTTAAGAAAGTTCCCTATTGTTAGAGATTCTGCATATACAGTATCCTTACAGAACAAACAGTGCACAATCTAAATGTGCTTATCTGCTGCTTCTCTGCAAACAGGAAACAGGAACCTTTATTATAGAGAAAAGTCATAAAGTATGATCATAGATGCAGCTTCAAACTTCTAAACACTGCATTCTACTAGTAGAAAATATATCTCTACTGAATACTTATACTGATGTGGTTGTTGTACAAAATACATGAACATTGTATTCCAACACCCCGACTTCACAACTACTGCTTGTATAAATCCCATTTCAGATCTCAATTCTATAAATATGTTTCTTGTACAGGGTCATCTCTCTATCAGCAGCTCTGATCTACTTTTGTTTCTCATGGGTTGGAAGTCTTTGCATCTCATCCCATGAATCTGGCTCTGGCTTTAATGCCATCCAGCAACATAGGCCAGACGTTTGGCTGAGATGCCTTTATGGCTTCTGGTGGATTTGCTGATTGAAGCCTCCGGTGGCCTGGTTTCTTCTTTTTCAGTATTTGGATTGTCTGCGTTAAAGTGGTTGTAAAGGCTGGAGGTTTTTTACCTTCATGCATTCTATGCATGAAGGTAAAAAACCTTCTGTGTACAGCAGTTCCCTCAGCCCCCTCAATACTTACCTGAGCCTCATAACTATCCAGCAATGTGAATAACAGCCTCGGCTGTCCTGGGTCTCTGCCTCCTCATTGGCTGAGACAGAAAGCGGGAGCCATTGGCTATCAATCACAGCCAGCCAGCCAATGAGGATAGAGAGGAGGTGGGGCCAAGCCACTTTTCCATGTGTGAATGGCTCCCTCTTTTGTCTCACCCAAAGAGGAAGAAGAGTCCCTAGACAGCAGAGGCTGTCATGAACATTGCTGGATTAGAGGAGGCCTAGGTAAGGATTGGGGGGCTGGGGGACCTCTGCACACAGAAGGTTTTTTACCTTCATGCATAGAATACATGAAGATAAAAACCTTGAGTATTTAGAACCACTTTAAGTCCAGAGGTTTCTTAGCTCTTCTGTTACTCTGCTTTGGAAAGGCTTTTCATTTTTCCTTTTATACAGCTGGTACATTTCATTCATTGATCACATTGACTTATTTTTATTCCACTTGCATACTCATTCTCAGTTAATGTCTTTATTATGTCAGGACTTCTGTGCCAAAGCTGTCCGTGCCATGTTTAAATGCAGTTTGAAAGTTGTTTCTCCTTGGCAGTGTTAACCACCTCAATGCAGTTCAGCTGATACAGTTTATCTGTAATTTAGCCTTTACAAGTAAGACAGTTGTGATGGCACAACTGTTGCCTTGGAAGGTCACTACATTGCCTAGTTTTGTGAGCTTCTTTACTGACAAAAGATTTGTTTCAAGAGCAGGGACAAACAGGACATTTTTCACAGGAACCTTTCTGAGTAAAGAAAAAAACTGTCTCCTGTTCTTTCTGATTCCATTATTTGCCTATTTTCTGTAATTATTTTTTCTGTTTTACTCTGGTCAAGGTGAATAAAGAAATGTTTGTCATTTAACATATGACTCGTAGCTCTGGAACCAACACATGAGGTGCAGCTTTTGTTCAAAAAACATATTCATTATCTGAAGAAAAATAATTTTTTCCTTCACAAGTTTGGCCTTTTATAGTTTAGTTTGTTTTTGTATTCTAGCTTTCCAGATTCTGTAATCTGCCTTTAACCATTTGCCAACCGCGCTATGGCTGAATGACAGCTACAGCGCTGTTGTCCAGGCCTGGGAGGGAGTCACATGATGATCAGTGCCCAGCAGTGCCACCCACATGTGCCCAACAGTGCCCAGCAGTGTCACCCACCTGTGCCCATCAGTGCCTAGTAGTGCCACCCACCTGTGCCTAGCAGTGCCACCCACCAGTGCCACCAATCAGTGCCCAGTAGTACCTACAGTCAGTGCCCAGCAGTGCCACCAGTCAGTGCCGTAAGCCAGTGCCACCCATCAGTGCCCGTCAGTGTCGCCTATCAGTGCACAACAGTGCCGCCTATTAGTGCTGATTTTTGTTGCATATCAGTGCAGCATCATCAGTGCTGCCTCATCAGTGCCAGCTCATCAGTGCCACCTATCAGTACCGCCTATCAGTGCTGCCTATCAGTGCCCAACAATGCCGCCTATCCATGCCACCTCATCAGTGCCACCTATTAGTGCCCATCAGTGCTGCCTATCAGTGCAGCCTCATCAACGCCCATCAGTGAAGGAGAAAAATTACCTGTCTGCAAAATGTTATAATAGAAACAAAGAAAAAAATTTTTTTCTCAAAATTGCTTGCTCTTTTTTTGTTTATAGCACAAAAAATAAAACATCCAGCAGCGATTAAATACTACCAAAAGAAAGCTCAATTTGTGTGAAAAAAAATGATAAAAATGTCATATGTGTACAGTGTTGCATGACTGCCCAATTGTCATTCAAAGTGCGACAGTGCTGAAAGCTGAAAATTGGCCTGGGCACAAAGGGGGTATAAGTGCCCAGTAGGCAAGTGATTAAATGGCCTTATTTCTTGCACACAAAGCATTCACATGTTTCTTGTTGCATGTTACTGTTTTTATTCATATTTTTCATCGTTAAAGCAGACTCTGCAATAGAAGCATCATCACTATTAATGCTCTCTGTTTTACGCTTCATTATATTCATCCACAAGCTTGCCCTTAAAATATCCCAATGTCAGTTCATCATTTGGATGTGCATCAAGTGCTGTGACAAGTATTTTGTAACTTTCTGGTACACCATTAAGTAATAGTGCTGTGACAAAAATTTTTATTTCTTCTCCTATACCTCTCAGGTAATCCTACATATCCTGGCCTTTCATCAGCTTGATTTGGTATAGCTTTCTAATAAAATACAGTTTACTGCTGAGATTAGCTCTTTCATGCACCTTTTGTAATCCTTCACACGTTTATTTAGCAGTTTCTCACATCCATATATTTATGATTTGATCATCTACTATGCTAAGAGATATTGTGCTCTGAGCTTTTTGATCTTACTCTATCCACTCATCTGAAGGGTGTTCTGGCCTGACTTCATTTATACATTTCGACTTACCTTCTCTTAATAACAGCATTTTCATCTTGAATTTCCAAGACTGGTAGTTCTGGTTTGTCAGATTTGTGTCCAGGGGCGGACTGACAACTCATGGGGCCCCCAGGCAATAGGGGATCATGGGGCCCTGTGTCCTTGCCCAAACTCAAAAAAGCCTATGAAAAAAGGTACCAGGGGCATCTCATGGGGCCCCCTACTGACCCTGGGACCTCGGGCAGTGCCCGAGTTTCCAAGTGGTCAGTTCTCCCCTGTTTGCGGCCATTCTCTTTTATTCCATTGCTCTATCTCGCACTTGTTTGCTGTAGTCAGCTACGACTGGTTGTCTGGGTGGGCGTCTGGGCCCATAACCTGTTAGAGATTCTGTATATAGCCCTACAAAACAAACAGTGCACTGTCCACACATACAGTATTTATCTGCTGCTTCTCTGCAAACAGGAAACTTTATTATAGGGAAAAGACATACAGTGAAATTCAATAAAGGTTTTGTGCCACTTTTCCAGCATTAATAGCCGATGTTAATGCTTTGTGCCAAAGTTAATAACCAGCTTGCCAAATTCAGCTAGTTATTAGCCACTTTGGTGCATTGGTTTGCAACAAATTCAAAATGAAATAATGGCAGATTGTCTTTTGGAAAACTGGAGCTGATTAAGACCAACTCTGTTTTGGCACACAGAGAGATTGAGGTCAAAATAGATCCACAAAGATGTGTACACATGTAAAGGTCTGTTGAAAAAAGTAAAAGATTAATCACATTAGGACTTGGTTTCAGTTAGTGGAAGTGTTATTGTGAGTGTCATTTAGATAGTGTAATTATTTATTCAGTTATTGAATTAGTTAGTCATTTCATTAGTGTCATTTACCCACCTCAATACCAGATGCTTTTGCCCCTTTCCTGCCCAGGCCAGGACGCGCTGTCACAGTTTGAATGCCAATTACTCAGTAACTGAGTGCAACACTGTACCCATGTGAAATGTTTATAATGTTTTTGAGACAGATATAGCTTTCTTTTGGTGGTATTTAATCACCACTGGATTTTTTATATTTTTGCTAAATAAACAAAAAAAGACTGAATATTTTGAAAAATAAAATGCATTTTTCTCTGTTTCTGTTAAACGATTTTGCAAATAAATAATCTTTCTTTATACATTTAGGCCAAAATGTATTCTGCTAGATTTCTTTGGTAACAATTACCCAAATCAGTGTATAATATTTAGGGCTGGTTTACAACAGATGCAATCCCGTGCATTTTTTTTCTGCATCAAAAATGCATGTACAGTAGGTTTATATGGATTCCCATAGCATAGTTCATACCAGTGTAGTCTGTTCCAGTGCAGAAAAAAAAAAAATAGCTGCATTTTTTTTGCATTAAACTGTACTGAAACACAGCAAAACACATCAAAACACACCTGAACACAACTAAATGCTTTAAAAATGCACCTGAATGCACATGTCACTAGCCACTGTCACATTAGTGTGATTTCTGATGGGCACAGGAAAATCACAATGGTAGCCTGCAATTTCAGCCCCATAGACTTCTATGTTAACCCCTTCCCGCCGGCGCCTCCCGGCCCTTTAAGAGTTTCAGACGCCGGGAGGCGGGGCGGGTGTGGAATGGTTTAGGAATCATGTGACCGCCGTGACGCGTCATCACGGTGGTCACATGATCGGGAAAGGTCCCGATCGAAAAAGAGTACCACACGTGTGAGTACCACATGTGTGCTGGGAGCGCGCAGGGCGCGCGCTCTCAGCTCATATGTTTTTTGCTACATGAACGCGGACGCCGGGAGGCCGCACATTTGTGTGCGGCCGGCGCAAAGGGGTTAAACACTCACAGAAGTTGCATCAGCATTATATTAGAACAATTCCTATGAGATTTTAACAAGCTCAATGTTTTTTTCGAACCCTCACATTTCTTTCTAGGTCACCCTTGCTGCCTAAAAACTCTCCTCCCAAACGCATGCCATTCACACCTGAGCATAGCGGAAACATGCGTTCCCACATGCTTTTTTTTTTTGCATGTAAACAGGGGTGGACTGACGACTCATGGAGCCCCTGGGCAATAGGGGATCATGGGGCCCCTGTGTCCTTGCCCAAGCTTAAAAAAGCCTATGAAAAAGGTGCCAGGGGCATCTCATGGGGCCCCCTACTGACTCCGGGCCCTCGGGCAGTGGCTGAGTTTCCAAATGGTCAGTCCGCCCCTGCATGTAAACACACATAGCACAGGCTGCCCTATGCGCTACAAAAATCCAAATGTAGCTCAAGAACATGTTTTTTCAGTGCATGTTTTGGCACGATTGTAGCATGTTTTGTTGTGCAACAGATGCATGACAAAACACTCGACTGCTGTGATTGGGGTGTCATTAAAGGCTACCTATATGGATACCAAAGCACAATGTGGGTTTGAAGCACCGACACCAGTTCTCCTCAGAGATGTGTACACCAGTTGGAGCAGCATCACTCCAAATTGAAGCACCGACACCAGTTCTCTTCAGAGATGTGTACACCAGTTGGAGCAGCATCATTCCAAATTGTAGTACCAGTTCTCCCTTGGAGATGCATATGCCAGTTAGAGCAGAATCACTCCAAATTGTAATACCAGTTTTCCTCAGAGATGTGTATGCCAGTTAGAGCAGAATCACTCCAAATCGTAGTACCAGTTCTCCTTGGAGATGTGTACACCAGTTAGAGCAGAATCACCCCAAATTGTAATACCAGTTTTCCTCAGAGATGTGTATGCCAGTTAGAGCAGCATCACTCCAAATTATAGTACCAGTTCTCCTTGGAGATGCATATGCCAGTTAGAGCAGAATCACTCCAAATTGTAATACCAGTTTTCCTCAGAGATGTGTATGCCAGTTAGAGTAGCATCACTCCAAATCGTAGTACCAGTTCTCCTTGGAGATGTGTACACCAGTTAGAGCAGAATCACTCCAAATTGTAATACCAGTTTTCCTCAGAGATGTGTATGCCAGTTAGAGCAGCATCACTCCAAATTATAGTACCAGTTCTCCTTGGAGATGCATATGCCAGTTAGAGCAGAATCACTCCAAATTGTAATACCAGTTTTCCTCAGAGATGTTTATGCCAGTTAGAGTAGCATCACTCCAAATTGTAGTACCAGTTCCCCTCGGAGATGCGTACGTAAGTTAGAGCAGAATCACCCCAAATTGTACTACCAGTTCTCCTCAGAGATATGTACGCCAGTTAGAGCAGAATCACCCCAAATTGTACTACCAGTTCTCCTCAGAGATGTGTACGCTGGTTGGAGCAGCAATCACTCCAAATTGAAGCACCAACGTCAGTTCTCCTCAGAGATGTGTACGCTGGTTGGAGCAGCATCACTTCAAATTGAAGCACCAATGCCAGTTCTCCTCAGAGATGTGTACACCAGTTGGATCAGCATCACTTCAAATTGAAGCATTAACACCAGTTCTCCTCAGAGATGTGTACGCCAGTTGGAGCAGCATCATTCCAAATCGTAGTACCAGTTCTCCTTGGAGATGCGTACACCAGTTAGAGCAGAATCACTCCAAATTGTACTACCAGTTCTCCTCAGAGATGTGTACGCTGGTTGGAGCAGCATCACTCCAAATTGAAGCACCAACGCCAGTTCTCCTCAGAGATGTGTACGCTGGTTGGAGCAGCATTACTCCAAATTGAAGCACCAACGCCAGTTCTCCTCAGAGATGTGTACGCTGGTTGGAGCAGCATCACTCCAAATTGAAGCTCCAATGCCAGTTCTCCTCAGAGATGTGTACGCCAGTTAGAGCAGCATCACTCCAAATTGAAGCACCAACGTCAGTTCTCCTCAGAGATGTGTAAGTTGGTTGGAGCAGCATCACCCCAAATTGTAGTACCAGTTCTCCTCAGAGATGTGTAAGTTGGTTGGAGCAGCATCACTCCAAATTGTAGTACCAGTTCTCCTCAGATATATGTACGCCAGTTAGAGCAACATCACTCCAAATGGTCATACCAATTCTCTTCAGAGATGCGTACCTCAGAACACCATTGTGCCAAATTGCAATAAAAAGATTAGAGTTCCAGTTCCCCTAAGAAAGGGGCATGGAACAATCAGACCTGCATCGCGCCAAAGTGCACTAGGAAGGTTAATGTGGAAACACAATGTAACATTTTTAAAGCAATGTGCCAAATAATATAGAGAGCTTAATGCTTTAGCTCCACTCAAAAAAGTGATGTTTTAACAGCAATGCACCATAATAGAAAGCTCAATGCGCCAAAGTAAACTGCATCCAAGCCAAAGTGTGATAAGAAGTGAGTTTCCGTTTTACTCAGAAGAGTCGTGAGACAAATATAAAAGCATTGTGCCAAAATCACATACCCAGTACAGACAGGTACATGAATTTGGCACATTCTGCGTCACTGCCATTGAGACACTTTTGTTAATTCTCTCTGCACCAGTTTTGACTGCAGAAGAGTATATACCCAAACCTTAATACCATGTTTTTTTTCCCCTCAACCTTCCACAATAACGACACTCAGAAGTGTTAAGTTGGAAGGGCAAAGCCACAGCTTTATTGAATTTCACTTAAGCAGTTTCAAACATAAATATTAAACCTTAACCTTAAACCCATGCCAGTCACAGTTAGACTGTGAGCACTTCCAAAAACATAACTTGACTTAGTCTAAAGTCCTGTCGTTACCATCAGTTTCCGGACAGCCCTAGGTTGGTCTAACTTCCACTGAAAGACATAACCCTTTAAAGGAAACTACTAGATAATGAAAAAAACTCCTGCGCTCAATGGAACACCTATTAATAAGCAGCACACACTCGGCTCAACCACAAGGAAAGAACATAAAAATACAAAAAAATAGTGCAGCGCTAACAACCTATACTAAAATACAAATGAGATACAAATGAGTGACTCTGAGGAAGTCACGTGGATCGTGACGTAAACGCGTTAAGGTACGCACTGACATCATTTCCGGTGGCGCGGTGACGTCATTTCCGGCGTCGCCGCCATTTCTGGAGGGATTGTGGAGCAAGTGGAGCTGCATGCATTTCTTAGCATGAGAACCATGGAAACACACCCATGATATGGGAAAAAGCTGATCTTTGTCATTTTACATTTGAGTGGGCATTTTATTTATATTCATGTTATTATTAAAACTGGATTACACTATGGAGGATCTTCTTTGTTTTTAATGGTATCTTAAACGGTTTTGTGGAATTGAGTACCTAGGAGATAGGAGAAGATATTGGAGGGATTTATCCATACGTTCCATCCTTTGATGATACCTTTAAAGGAAAGCTTTTCGCTGGCAAGGTAAAACCACCAGAGAAAGGTGTGACAACCGACCTAACTGAAAGAAAATAGGGACGGGCGGGCAACTCTTCCTCCTGCTGCTTCCACGGTGAGTGAGATTTTACCGCACAACATAACTTTTGACAGAATTCAGGCACCACCCACTAAGTCTCTGCCACTGACTGACCAACCACCTTCAGCCATTTGGGGCTCATCCACTAGCACTGCCTTTGTCTCTAGGCCATACTCTCCACAGTCAAGACTTCCTTTCCCTATGGGATCAAGGGGCCATCATTATGAACTGCTGGGATAGAGTATAATCATAGATGCAGCTACAAACTTCTAAACACTGCCATTTACTGGTTGAAGAATACAGTATAGCTCTACTGAATACTGATGTAGTTGTAGTTGTACAAAATACATGAACACTGTATTCCAATACCTATTTACAATAATAATTTCAGTTTTGCAACGAGACAGTGGAGGCCTACCAAGAGATTATATGATATTAAAACTCTTCAGGGAACCATGTTTCCCATGCGTTACTGCAATATTAATGCTTTAACTATGGGTTCCAGACTACATTAAAAAGGTACAAAATCTTCTTAGACATTAAAAGCTCTTTAAGCTTTGATTATGGATATGATATGGTAAACCATCAGAGCCACCGGTAGAGAGATATTCTTAAAGCGGTATTAAACCCAAAAACAAACATTTAGTATATTGTAGCCTACCAATTCTTAGATATGATGGCTGCATTACTTCTTTTTTAGGCTTTATTTCCTTTATTTTCAACTGGGGATCCAGCCAGTAAGTCTGTTGTTTTTCAAAAGAACGAAGATTCCTGCAAATTTAGCAGAGTGCAAAATTACCACTGATGAGGTGTTTACAATGATCTGCTTTTATTTATTCATATAAAACTTTTATCCCAAAAGAAAAAAACATGTTTGCAGCAATTGCTTGTGTAACTGCATTGTGAGCTGGAGTTTGGCTTTGATTTGTTAGTGTGTCTAAATCTGCTAGTACATCTAATACTCCTATCTCCCAGACTGGCAAAGCTGCTGTCCATAAGTGCCCTTGTGCTCCTTCATCCAGAGTAGTGGCACTGTAATACAGGAGTTGTGTTACTGGCCAGATCACCAAGTGAAAACAGAGGGGAAAAAAGCCTAAAAAAAGCTAATGCAGTCACCACATCTAAGTATTGGTAAACTGCAATATATTACATTTTTGGTTTTGTGTGTATTACCGTTTTAATGCGCCATCACAAATAACTTGTTTACAGAGCTTTTCTTATCTTCATCCTTAAACTTTTCAAGGTTTATCCCTTAGAATTCTTTGCTCTCTCTATTCATATCCCTTCTTCTTCCCTCCATGTATGTCTCTGTGCCTCTCCACCTTCTCTTACTCACCTAGTAAACTCAATCCACACCAGATATTGATCCTGGTTAATGTCTGCATGCTGTGCATCCTTGTTCTCCCAGCGGCTGTATAATTTGAAGATTATACTTTAATGAACAGATGATGTATGTTTCAATGCGGATAACAAGAGACGTAATGGAAATCCCAGACAGGTAAATGGGAACAGTGATTACTAAGTGACGGGAAGCAGTTCCAGCTGAGATCTGAAATCGCTGAAAAACAAGATGTATATAGAGTTGTACATGATGAGGGGAGGTCTGTGCTATTTAAAAGACGCAAAATGCTAGGTCATCCTGGAAATGGATGCCTTCCTATCTACTGCACACTGCACTATTTCTCTGGGGCAAAAGGTCCTTGTTCAGGATAGACAATTGGATGCAGCAACAGAGCTAGCTGTTTTTACATTTGCTGACTTCACTTGACACAGATAAAGTGACTGAAACCTGAGAGTAGTTTACATCTTCAAAGTTGGAGCGTTCACCTCAAAAAACTGACCTAAAATCTCAGGATAAGATATACAATTCAGAAAGATATATGTTATGTTCAGCTAGCTCCTTCTCTGTAAATAAGGTGAAGCTCCATTCCAGGTTTCGGCTTGAGTTGTCTACAAAACCCAATCAGATAGGGTCAATCC